CTCTCTCTCTCTCTCTCTCTCTCTCTCTCTCTCTCTCTCTCTCTCTCTCTCTCTCTCTCTCTCTCTCTCTCTCTCTTTCTCTCTCTCTCTCTCAGCATGCGAGCAGGCAGTTTGGCAGCCTAACGGCAACAACAATAACTGTTGCCGTTTGAGATAAATGGCAGCATTTATCTGAAACGGCAACAGTTTTGCCATGGCCTGGGCCTGGACCCACCGCCCTCCTCACACTGCCTAGTGCCCACACGGTGCCCCYCACCCGCTGGCACCGAAACAGGCCCAGAACGGCCCACCGGACCCTTTTTTTTTTTTTTTTCGTTTTTTTTTTCGGTGCCGCGCGGAAGGTCTGACACCCAAAAAAAAAATATGGGCTTGTAGGGATTTTTCAGCCCTACACGCCCATATATATATATATATCGTCAAATAGAACTGCCCGGTAAACTGTAGGCAGAGAGGGAGAAGAGGACAACAAACGAGGGGCTGTGACAAACTGTTTCGTCGGAGTTTCTATATATTTTTCATGTCAAAAATGGGGAAAAAAAATCATGTACGAAACTCGGCTGGTCGGCCCAGGCCGAACCGGGCCGATTCGGTCATCGGCCTCGGCCTCGGCCGATTCAGACCCCCCGGCCGCGGCCGGGCGTGCAGCATAGCGCATGCATACTTCTTTTGATTATGTTTCATCTCCCCAACGTTCTTGTTGCGTAGCCATAGTACTCGAATCTGGGTCTTCACGAAATCAGCCAACAGTTTATCCTTCACGAGGTCAGTCACCAGGTTCTCGGTCATCTCCCGGACCCCGGCTTTACGTATGCATGAATAAAAAAAGAACTTTATGTTCACCTGCTTCCTCACGCTAACACCGGTCTTCCGGGCGATGATTCTGTCCAGCTTGGTACGTAGCTGATGCTTTGTCTGTTTCTCCGAAAAGAGCCCAGAAGTTTTGTACAGCCCAATCAACTTCTTGGTCGGGAGCTTGATCATCTGAGTATCCGGTCGTGGTCTTCTCAAAAGAGCAGTGAGCATGGCCTTGTTCCGTTCAGTTGTCATCTTCGCCCTCACGATTCGCTTTAGAATCACCTCGCCTCCTTGTTGCAGCTTTGCCTTAGCGTGCCGCAGTAGTGTCCTCTCACCACAGACTTCAAGACTCGAGTCCCCAAATCTTCGTCTCAATCTCCTCCACCCTTCCATCCATACTTGGCTGCTCGAGAATTCCACCTTGGTATCTCTCTGGTCGCTATTCTCCGCTAACCAATCGCCTATTGAGGCGTATGCTACTCCCTTGTGCACTAGCGTAACCAGGTTTCCCGTTTGCCTCGACCGTCCTCTCCTCTCCCTTCTACCCCTCCTCTTCCTACCCTTACCGGATTTCTCTCTTTTCCCGAGATCTCGTGAGTTCAGACTCGGACAAAAATCCGAAATCAGGTGTTTCTCGAATGCATAATCATCCGAACCGTCAATATGCCTGATGGGGATGATCACATACTTATCAATCCCAAATTTGCGTAGCCAGCGGTATAGATGGGGTGCCTGCCCCAGTGCCTCATTCTGTGTATTCCTTGTGTGCTCCCTCCACATCTGTATTATCGGTCTCACGGTGCATCCGGCATACGTTTTCTTCGACCATGGACTCACAATCGCGTACACTCCTCCAGTCTTTAACTGCAGCATCTCGCTCAAATCCTGTGTCTTCGTCAAGTACTTGAACAACCAGGGAATCTGTCCCTGTACAGTTAGAAGGAGCGTTGTCGTAGCGATCATACTTTCGACCTTCCGGGCCACCTCACCGATAGCATTCTGCCCCCTGAGCACTGCCTTGTGGGTGAACAAAAACTGTAGGTTCTCCCAGAGTTCAGCGTTTGTAGGGGCCGCTAATTGTCAAACTGAATCTCCGGGATCATCTGCTGGTTGGACATGTGCCGATCGAATAATAACAGGTGTCGCCCGTGCCGTGTGTTTAACCGATGTAGTCCTATCCTTCGTGAACACCTCCCGCAGAGATCCAGAAGCTTCCGTCTTCCCATTGGACCTCCCTGTCTCCAGTTCGTCTTCAAAACCTTCGTACGCCAGTTGGACTTGTTGCCTGGCTAGCATCTCCACAGCTTCGGGTTTCTTCATATACTTTATGCCCTTCTTCTCACAGATCTTTCTTAATGTATCCGCCTTCTTGGTGGAGTAGATCTTATGGGCAGATATGCAGTAATCTATCAGCCCTCTTTGTGAACATCCCGCGAACAAACCTTTGAAACCACCAGTTAGTGGTGTCATAGGTTCGTCCGCCTCCTCTGCATCATCCTGCGTACTCCCATCCGACTGTCGCGTTTTCCGTTGCCACGAACATTCTCCTCGTTCGTACACCCTGGTCGGGGTATCTCCCGTTCTTCCCTTGCCCTTCGTACTCGCTCGTTTGCTTCTGGGTCTCTTCTTCTGCCGTTCTCTCCTTGCCTTTCTTCTCGCCTGCCGTGGCTCCGCGAATTAGTGGAATCCGTAGACACTTCGTTCGTGCCGCTCGCCTCCTCCGTATCTTCGTCGGTAGTTTCCCTTTCCTTCTTTCTTCTCCTCTTCTGCTGTTTGCCCTTGGGTTTACCCTTTGCACCTCTTGTCGGAGTCTTAATCTTCCCAGGTTTCTTGGTCTTCTCCATCGCCGCTATCGCTTCATCTTTCGTCCTTCTCCATTCTTCCATGAGTTCGGCGCGTAGTTGCAGCTTGAACTCTTCCGCTTTCCTCGCGAAATCTTGATTCCTCCTCACCTCCTCTTCCTCTTTCGCTTTGCGTTCCTCCTCTAGTCGCCGTTTCTCCTCCATCTCCAGACGTTCTCTCCTGATCTGCCTAAAGTGCTCTTTCATCTCGTCGAGTTCGGGGTCACCTTGCTGGGGGGCGAATCCCCTCTCCCTCCTTGCTGACCAATCGCGGGCGAAGTGCCCCGGTTTTCCGCAATTAAAACATCCATTGTTGCCGCCACGTCCACCTCCATTACCGAGATAGCTCTGGCCTCCTCCGTATTGGTTCGCTCCCCCGCTTGGCGACCTTCCGTTAGCGTAAGGCTGCCCGTTTTGTTCGTTTGCCTGCTCGCCCCCACCGGGGCCATCTCTGCTCGCTCCTTAATTGATAATCTCCCAAAACACGTTAGCGTACAGTCGAGCCGCCAATCTCCCTCGCGTTCTCCTCTAGTGTCGTCTTACTAAATACTCACTCGTGTATATATATACCATCGCCACCGAAATAACTTCCAGCTACTTTGGAAAATATATCCCAAAGACCGCTACTCAGAATATCATTAATTTCTCCCTCTCCGATATCTCTGTCCGCTAATCTCTCGCACTGTCAATCGTCCCGATCCTTCTTACAGCGCTCATTACTCAGTCCTAATCGCCACCTCGGTATTACGTCGTTCATCCGTCACCCCCTACCGTCGATCTGCATGTTATTCTCTCCATATGTCGATTATCTCGCGGTATCTAATTCTGCGCCTAGTCCTCAACACTAGTAATGTAGCCCATCAGCATGTCATACAACGCCGAGCGCAAACTCTCATTATGAACGAAACCGATCATCAAGTGCATTGGTTCTACGGTATCTCTCACATAATCCTCAAGTGCTTGGATCAACCTCGTCCTAACTGTGGCCCGTCTTCTAGTGCGCGTGCTCCCATCTCCGCTATTCTCCCGATTATCCGACATTTTTCGGCATGCCGCTCCCACCAAAATCACTCCTATCCCCAAGCAAATGACCTCTATACCAAATAAAACTAGCTGGATCGTTTTCCCACCTTTCCTCATCTCAATCCTGATGAGTCCGTCCAGCACACAAATACCTCTATTACCCAGTCACGGATCTCGTTCATTCATCATACCAATGTACGCAGGTAATCCACACGAGTCCTCCGTGTTCGATGATGGTGTCACCTCAACCGGTCACATTACTTCCTTACTCGTGTTCGCCTTCAATCTTCTCGTCCCCTGAGTATCAGTTCGAAAAACTCCCTTGCAACAGTTAGATCCCGCATGTCGACGCAGCCACCGTGCAGCGCGTGCAGCTGGCGGTTACTACGAGCCCACGAGATGGCAGACTGCGGGAAAACAGTCCGTGCAGTGCAAGAAACCCGCAAAACATGAGATCTCACACGTTCAAAAACCATAGCGAGTTTTCATAGCAAAACTGCAAAATTGAGCATCATGCGGAATCCCCTAACCGGTTTCACCCGCCCACACGGGATCGTAAGGAGGGTGACTCTAAGTAGAGTCTTTGTGCTCTCAAAAGGGAAGACTCCTGCCTTGTCTTCCGCTGTATATCTCTTTATCTTGTCAAAAAACGCCCGGCCGTCTCAGGCCCCTGTCCAGGAAAGCACCACCTCGTCGTCAAGAACTAAAAACAGAAAGTCCTGAACCCGCCGGTCAAGACTCGTACCAGCGTCTACAATTCCGGTTATCCTCCATCGTGGTACGCCCGTACCCTGTATCTGACTACGTCCCAATTCAGTAGAAAACAGGAAATTCCAAAACTTCAAAATTTTAAAATTCCAAAAGTTGTTCCCGTCCGCCTTTCGGGAACCTAGGGCCTACTCGCGACAACCCAACAGTCTCCGCCTGCTATCCTTCGGATACTAGTACAAGGTCCGGCTGAATCTCCGAACAAAAATACCGTAAATAAATAAATAAAAATAGATAAACAGCAAAACCCAACTAACTAAACTTCCGAATGTTCCTAGGAATCGAGCCAGAACCGGGTTCACACTTCCCCTGGTGGTAGGTGCCTATCCAAACACCAGTGCTAGCTACCCGGCTAGCGATCCTCGTCCTTCCGTTCAAAACTTACCTTTCCTCCGTCGCTTCATCCATCCTGCAGTGCACGTCATAGCTGCTAATAGACACCGAAGTGCTCGTTTTGCCACAGCCTTGGCCAACTCGGCCAAGGC